ATCTTGCCCTTCATTACAATTGCTACAAAGTTTCTTTCAAAACATTGCAGTAAAAGGGTACTTGACACAGAGATGAATGGCTATCACTGTTTCAATTTTTCAGAGAAAACTTTCTTACGTCACGAAGTGTAGATCCTAAGCAACCATCACATTTTCACTTTGTTCCATCATTGAAACTTTCCCAAGGGGAGGTGCATGACCTTTCAGGAGAGGTGGAAAAATTGGGGAGGGGAGGTGCAAAACAATCTCAGGGGAGGTGCGCACCTCTCCACACCTCCCCTCAAAATCCTGTCTTGACGCAAATAAATCACCACAGCTAGAAAGAGCATACTAAAATAAGTAAATTATTGCAATGTTTGGTTGCGAAATGTTGTAAAATATGTAGAAAATATAGCCTTGCAAAGTTTGCAAATTTTGTATACTTTTGTATTGCATGCGAAAATTGCAATACAAAAGTATACAAAATTTGCAAACTTTGGAAGGCTATATTTTCTACATATTTTACAACATTTCGCAACCAAACTTTGCAATTTTAATAATCTTAGTATGCCCTTCCCGGGAATATAATTTATTGCTAAGATAAAAAATTAATCTATAATGGGAATTGTCTATTGGTCCCCATTATCTATTTTTGTTTCTCTAAATAAAGAGCTAGAGTTTTTGTTTCTTTAAATAAAGATAAAGAGCTAGTGGGGGGACCAAAATTTATGTTCTTGTTTTACTTGTTCGGGGGGGGGGGAGATTTGAAAATTTTACTTGTCTTAAGAGGGGGGCAACGAAAATATATTATAACTGTAGAGCTTCTCCTCAGTCTCCCCCTGTACAATAAATAATGAGCAGTCCCTTAGGGCAAGTTGACCACAACGGTCAAAATGGTATCAACCGACCACACGCAAAAACGACGCTTTCGCCATAGTGCTATCTACCAAACCATACATGCTTTGGCTATTCTGAGCTGCTTATATGGTTCAGAGATGGTGCTTTTAGGGGTGGTCATTGGTAAGTGTGAAATGCCTAACACTGATATTTCACAAGAAAATGACCATGCAATACTCATGGTCAAACGTCAATTTGTGGCTTACAACTTCAGATAAACAGCAGTGGACTTACATTACCTTTTTTTTTAAATCTTTTTTATAGAAACATAATTGGTACTTATTTAATTATATTATTACTGTTTTGGTGTAAAATGGTTAATATTTTGTGACCGAAATAATGATTTGAAGTGTACATACCTCCTGCAAATGGACGTATTTGGCCAAATTGTCCACAGTTTACTCCGCTGTTTATCGCAGATCTCGTTGAAATCCTTCCAAATATGCAATTCAGCTCAAACATGACGGTATCAAGCACATTTTAAACAAGTTTTAACTGGGTTTCAAGTAGATCCTAGCTGTTTAACCATCGACAAGGAAAAACCTCAACTTTGTCCACAATTCAACCTCGTTATTCTTCCATCCAAGCCATTTAAGAAGCAATAATAACAAATTTAACCCTTTGTTAAGGGTATTAAAATAAAAATACAAATGAAATACGCGAAATGCAGCATTTTATCACCCTGTAAGATGTTGCTTACGGGTCTTTCAAAACATTCCGTACAAATCTCGCGTGGTAAAGTAACAGGGACGTGACAGGGGGGTGAATTTTTTCACGAATGCTGCGTGAAATAGACTAAATACTAAATGCAATCATACAAACCTTTGTTTTATTTCTTGTAGCGACAAATAAATACATATTATTACCTGTAATATGAACATACAAATTAAATGTTGATTGTTGGTTTAACCATTATACTCCGTTCTGCGTGCCTTTGCTTTTATTTTTGAAGTCTCCACCCCCCTGTCACGTCCCTGTTACTTTCCCACGCGAGTTTGTACGGAATTGTTTGAAAAACTCGTAAGCAACATCTTACAGGGTGATAAAATGCTGCATTTCGCATATTTCATTTGTATTTTTATTTTAATACCCTTAACAAAGGGTTAAATTTGTTTAAAATGCGCTTGATACCGTTATGTTTGATCTGAATTACGTATTTGGAAGGATTTCAACGAGATCTGCGATAAAGAGCGGAGTACAGTGGAGAATTTGGCCGAATACGTCCATTTGCAGGAAGTAGGTACATTTCGAATTATTATTTCGCTCACAAAATATTAACCATTTTACACCAAAACAGTGATAATATAATTAAATAAGTACCAATTATGTTTCTATCAAAAAGATTTAGGAAAAAAGGTAATGTAGGTCCACTGCTGTTTATCTGAATTTGTAAGCCACAAATTGACGTTTGACTATGAGTATTGCATGGTCATTTTCTTGTGAAATATCAGTGCTAGGCATTTCACCCTTACGAATGACCACCCCGAAAAGCACCATCTCTGAACCATATAAGCACCTCAGAATAGCCAAAGCTTGTATGGTTTGGTAGATAGCACTATGGCGAAAGCATCGTTTTTGGGTGTGGTCAGTTTAGGACGTTTCGTCCCGTATTGGGATTCGCGCAGCGTTACCATGTTGACCGTCATGGTCAACTTACCCTAAAACAGTTGAGATTATCTGTCCTAAATGAAATGCATACAAACTCATATACAGGTCCTAGACTATTAAGAAAGCCTGTGCGGCACACCTTGCTTTACAAGTAACGATCGACATACAACGTAGTTGTTTCAGATACAGCACCTTCAGCCACAAATATTAAGCAAATTCCCCATATAAAAGACAAGCTTAGTTTTCTATAAATAAATGTATAATATATTCTCTACACTCTCCCCCTATTTGCAACGTAAGTTTGCAAATATTACAACAACAATATGTTAATAAGAATCTAAGTTTATCAGTTTCAGTTTATAAGTTCCTCAATAATCTCGAATGTTTTCATTAAAAGTACTCCTCGTCTTGAATTTCTTCTGCTTCAATGTTTTTAAATAGTTCTGGTGCAACTTCTGCAGTTTTACGTTTTGGACGAAATTCAGGAGCATGTACATCCAAGGCGGTGTCTTCTTTTGACTTCGATGGCATGTCGCACGACAATTCCAACGGAAATAGGTGTTTGACAGGTCATTCCAGATATGGTTTATTCGCTCGTAACCGCGTTCCTCGTACAACTTAAATCTCGACCTTGGATCAGTTTCTCGACGATACCAATTCTCTATACACCTCTGTTCTTTTCTTTTCTTCACCTTTGCTCATTACGACATCTCCAGGTTTCAGCGCCATTTCTTTACGTTCATGTTTCAGGTTATGACTTCTCTTCGGGATTTGATGTACTCAGTTGACCACCTAGACCATAGAGCATCCTCACACTTGTGCAGGTATTTAGCCCGTTTGCGTAGGTCTCGACCTTCAATCGCGTTGGGATCTCGTTGTGGAATTAAGTTAGGTTGACCAAATAACATGGAGTTTGGAGTTACCAAAGGGAGTTGAATGTCATCTTCAACGTAGCTAGCATAACGGTCGGGAGTTTAAAGTGGTTTCAACATCGATGATTATCTCCTCCAGCTCGTTCCACTTGAGATTCCCATGTCCAATCGTCTTGTAAAAGGCTTGTTTGACAAGGCCAACCATTCGTTCAAATTGGCCGCCACACCAAGGGGCGCGGCATCGATTGAACTGCCACTTGATTTCATTTCGCGCAAGCCAATTTTTGCAATTCTTCATCCTTCATCACATTCTTGACCCATTTCGAAGCTGCCACAAATGTTTTGCCATTACCTGAATATACCTTTCTCGGTCGTCCTCTTCGAATGAACTCTTCTGTGGTGAGGTCGGGTAGCAAGTCCAGAACACAGCTCTAGTCAAACTGCAGGAATACAACAGTATGTAAGCTTTCTTTTCGGATTTCTTATGTCGGTATTTGATCGGACCAGCATAGTCTACGCCAGTCGTCTGGAACGGTATTTCTCCCATGGTTCTGTCTTTCGGCAGGGTTTCGACAGGTGGGTTTGCACCCGTTACATGTATGGATCACTTTCTTCACAAGCCTTCTGAACCGCGGTATCCAATACTTGTCCCGTATCTTTGCCATAGTGTAACCGACTCCCCCATGCCACATTTTCATGTGAGTTTCTCCTACGAGTTTCTCTTTGAATAGACTTGTATCGAGTAAGTTTATGTTTATAGCCTACTGAACTCAATCCCATGAGGGAAAGTGCAATGAGCAGCAGGTTAAAACACACAGGAGGCCGTCCACGTCCTACAGGGCAAAACTGCAGGCCAAACTAGGACTACCAACCTCCTGAGCGCAAAAACAACAGCACGCATGCGCACTGTGCTAAACCCCAGAGGACACAAAGTGACCAATGGTGAGAGGTTAAAACGGTCTCCGAAGAGACCGAGTGAAATGAACGAATTAGCAAGCTAGAACGAACGAAAAACTTAACCATGAACGCGTCGTAAGTATATGGGGAAATCACCTTAAATTCTGCCGCGACATTCAAGTACGCCTTCGTTGTTCTCTTGTAGGTTAAGTCTTGCGCGGTTTTCTTCGAATTTTGGACTGTTCTACCCTTCGTTTTGAGTTTTCAGGATCCAAAAGTTCAGTATTGTTTCTGTTTCTTCCGTAGTTATGGCACCAGATATTTTCTTCTTCCTATTGCACCGTTTAAAATTGTAAATGAATCGACGTATCCAAGCCATGATTCCGATTGTTTTCCACAGTTCGTGTTTTTCCAAAAGCTTATCGAATAAGTTATCCTCTACTACAGCAACTGCTAGGATTTCTTTGATTGGCTTCAACTCAGTGCGTGATTCATCTGTTGGGGTGGTGGTGATGTCGCTAGGCCAACTTTCTTCTTTGGACAGCCACTCTGGACCCTTTAACCATAGCCTGCGAAGAGGCTCTCAAGCTGAATTGAGAGCCTGCATCGATGACTAATGAATTTGAATATCTGCGTCTCAAATCGTGACGCGAAATTCTCATTGGTCAGATGCTATAATTTATATGATTCCGCTGAGCTCTGTATATGTCAACTGCTGAATTATGCATGAAAAACACATTAACTGATCAAATTGGTCTTGGCCGTCTTATCTCAAAGCACGAAATGTTCTGTTTTGAGAAAACAGTATTTAAAACATTTGAACTTTTGCTTGAATATCTTATATTTTGAAAAACAGTATAAACTGTACCGTCTAAATTTAGTTTGCACGGTCTAAATTTAGTTTGCACGAAAGTTGTAAACAACACCATATAAGGATAGACATTCCATATTTGGAAAAACGAACGTTACGGGGCAGATATTCAAATTCATTGGTCATCGATGCAGGCTCTCAACTCAGCTTGAGAGCCTGTTCGCAAGCTAATTTAACCACAGCTGCGTTGATTCGTTTACACTGCCTCTTCGACTGCCCAAATCCGCCCGGTTTTCTTTGGTATTCACATATCGTCAATGGATGTATGCCTCCTCTATGATATTTTGTACTCGATTTCGAACACACTGTTTGTAGTCACCACCTCCTTTCAACCAATGTAAGGCTACTGTGCTATCGAGCCAACCACGCACATCACTCACTGTAAATCCTTCTAACGCTTGCTTCAAGTTGTGCACCAAGTTACATGCCATGAGGGCAGAGACCAGCTCTTGTCTCGGAATAGTTAGTTGTTGCTTTTCCAACCGCGATTTTGCCGCCACCAGGCCTTCACTAACACTAGACGGTTGTTCAACGACTGCGAACACTACTGCAGAGACACCTTTGCCGCTAGCATCTCCAAAATCGTGTAGTTTAATATCACTAATCTCTTCTTGATGTTTAACCAAACTTCTCGGGAACTCTACTTTGTCAGGTAACACGTTCTGCCACAATGTCCATTTCGCAACTAGATCTGGAGGAAGTTCCTTATCCCATGGAATTTTCCGGTCGCATATTTCTCTGTATAACAGCTTGCCGATCAGAGACGTTGGGTATACCACATAGTGTTAAAACACTTCACGATTTGTTGGTGTTGTAACTTCGCTCTTTTGAAACTGAACCGCAATCTTATCATCGACTTTGTTCCACGGTAAACCAAGCAGCTTCGTCTCTCCTGCTTTCACTCCGAGTTGTGATTTTGCATAGTTCTGCTCCTCTCCTATTGGCTCTGACGGCTCGTTCTCCGTTTCGAGTGAAGCTTCATTGGAATGCCACTTGTGCAGCTGGAACTTTGCTTCCTGGAATACGATTGTTGCTGCTTCCTCCAAATTCTGTGCTTCAGCCGTTGTTGTTCCTCCACCGATCAGGTCGTCAACATATACGCTTTTGAGTATCTCGTTCGTCTCCGTCTGGATACGAACACGTTTCACAACAGGTTTTGTAAGGGTGAGCCAGTTTCTAGACATTCGTTAAGTGATGGTGAACTTTCGTTTTCTCGGGCACTTGCATCAAATACTATACGGACTTTCGAGCTTTCAGCTGACTCACGAACAACAGGTTTGTGTGGTAAATAGAACTCCTTCGCTTGTGCACTTTCTGTTACCCTTTCTACAACACCGTCCTCCAATTGTTCCTTAATTATGTTATCATATTTCTCTAGTAACTCGGGATTCTTCTCTAATCATTTGGTAAGACTGTTCAGTCGTTTCAAGCTTCCAACTTCATTGCTTTGTAGGGGTGGATGGCTAGCTTTCCAAGGAAGTCCAGTTTGGTACCATCCTTCATGGCTTCTCGTAAGTTGTTCTTGGAATTCCTCATAGACGTTTTCTTGACTTCCTGGTGATGCATCTTTTAGACCCAAAACATGAAGTCGACAAAGGTTTTCATAGTTCACACTCGAGGTCTGGGTCAGAAGAACGTTTCCAAGATCAATTTCTTTACCGGGGGACACCATTGTCCAACCAAACCGTGTCTGTTCAGCGACTGGTTCACCTGGATGGCCAACTCTTGGTTTTGTCTCGGTCTTGATCTGTGCATATATTCACTTGCTCCCAAGATGACATGGACGGGTAGCTCTGGCTTTGTATCATCATCATTAATTGAAACCCCTTGTAAATGAGGGTATTGATTGATCTTTCCTTCATATTGTGGGTTTTCCAGTGTAAACAACTTGTCCCGATCAACATTGGTTTCTTCAGTGTAAATCTTGAAATCATTTTCTAAACTGCTGATGGTTAGTTGTGGATTTCAATTCTTTTGTTGCATGTCTCCATCATCATTTCGATTCGCTTGTTCTCCCTTCTAATAGGTCGGCTGTTAATCTTTTGTAGCAACACTGATGATGCGTAATAGCTGCCAGCCTCTGTGTCAAGAAGAGCCCGACATTTGATGCCATTGACTCGAACTACCACTACTGGGTACACAACTTTCCCCGTCCCTGTTGCTACGAGAATTGGTTAGCATTCTTTCTTTCCCGCACCTGGTAACTTGCCACTGGAATCACATATCGATGTGTGATGACGTCGTCCACATTTCTGACATGACGATTTGTGCTTTGATCAGGTACAGTTGCAACACAATGCTTTCGTAACTAGGATTCTCTTTCGATCAGCTACTTGAGTCACCTTGGCACACTCAAATGATCTGTGGTTGGTTGCTTCACAGTAGGGACAGACTTTTGGTTTAACTTCGTGTCCTTTGGCACCGAAGAAATTGTCTCGATTTCCACGCCGTGCTGTGTCTTGATCACCTTTGTTTTCCACTGGATTTCTCTTCGTCCACTCCCTCAATTGTTCCAGTAACTGTGTAAACCATATATATCTTATATAGACTAGATAGCGCATTTCTATTGGTAAAATTGAAGCCAAGAATATTCCAGCGGTTACCCCCATTTGAATAGATGGCGGCTATGTTTGAGTTTCCCACTCGCTAATAAACGCTGAAAACAACAATAACTTTCATCATTTGAATAGTTTAAAAATGTATTTGGAATAGGTTTACCTTAATATTTAAGTTCCGTGTTTAAGAAATAGAAAACATTCGAATCTTCTTATTTCATGGGAATAATCTGAGTCTGCAATCACGACTTCAATTTTTCAATTGTGGAATAATTAGATGCACTATCTCACTAGGTCTGCTTGGATTCCCTCAAGTTTGACAAACTTGAGGGAATCCAAGCAGACCTAGTGACTTAGTTTGTCTAGTGTAAGTCGGGTATGGCCAGAAACTGTTTTTAATTTCCCCAGCGCCTCCAACGCCTGCACACTTGAAGATAACTTTGCATAAAATCATGAATTTTGTTCGTTTATTTGTACCACGGATATGGGGAAGGGACATGATATTCTGTACATAAGCATTTATAAACCTCACTTGGTTGGCAAACCAAGTGAGGTTATGAATGCTTATGTACAGAATATAATGTCCCTTCCCCATATCCGTTAGATTTCAGGATTTGTTTTGCTCTCTCATAACCTTCACTTGTTAGGGGTAAAGCATCAACGTTCGCACGCACAGATGGTATCACTAACTTCTTTCAGATATGAGAACTTGGTGACAGGGCTTACGTCAGAATTGTCAATTTCGGCTTCATATTGGTTCCAAAATCGCATCCAATCCGTGAAAGTTCCGTTAAATTTAGTTATTATAAGTTTTGGTAACCTTACCTTTGATGTTCCTTGGGTTGGGTTTTCTTTTTCCAAATTAACCCTTCGTTCTTGTTCAAATCTGTCCTTTTTTTCTGCTACATCTTGCTTCATTTCATTTACAATTTGTTTCTACTCGGCACCTATCCTCTGATATTCTTTTAAATTCTCATCGACTTCTGCACTCCAGTTACGTATATTGGTCTCATCTTTGCCTTCTTCAAATTTTAGTTCTTGAATGCATAACTTTAGGTCTTGCATTTCGCTCAATTTATTCTGAATCACGTTTGCATGTCTCTCGATAGTTTCTAAATCACATTGTTCCACATTAGTTTTAATACTTTTGTTCAGCAATTTAAGTAGTTTGAGTTACCTTGTTGTTTTTTCTCCGATGTCGCCAAATCTATGTTTTAATACTTGCGTATTCGTGTTCCGTGTTTGATATATTTCGCTTGTTTTTAGCTTGTTTTTCACAAATAACTCTGCTTTAAAGTAATCTTGCTCGGGGTCTCCACTTTTGTTGCGAATAGCTCACACAACAACCTCTTCACACATTAGTTTTGATGATTTTATAAATGCTATATAAAAGTTACAGTTCTCGCATGCTTGTTTTGACTAACCAGTCTCGCTTAGTTCTCGTTCTATACTGGGAAAATTAGGTCGATAATTCTCGACAGGGAATCAATATTAATTAAAGATTGACTGAAATTATATGCTGTCTTGTTTAGTTGTTTCATATACGCAAAGGTAGGCTGCGTACGCTACGCAGGCTAACGCAAAGGCCGTCGGGTTTTAAAGCGATTATAAAATCAATATTTAAATCAAACTTACCTTCGTTAACGTCGGCTCCCTTCTTTTAGCCGATTCTTTCGCCCTTTCTTTCTGAGAAAGCTTTTGAAATTTACAAAATCTTGCAAAAATGAAATATATTTGCAAGAAATTTATCAATCATCAAATCAAGAAATGTTTGCTATTTCGCTGTAGTCATGCAGTCGTTATAATGCAAACTTTAAATTGGACCAATCAGTGTCCGCTATTCGTGACAGTCCGCCATATTTTTGAGATCAGTGAGGATGACCACCCACCAAAACTTCGTTGGTGAGACACGCCCGCGATCATTGATGAACTTTAGACTTCGCTAATGCCTTCGTTTCCACGGGTGTAAATAGCCGGAGGGAATTAGTACTCTCGCACGGCGCTTCGCACCGTCGGCTCGGGGATAATCTTTTGAAATATCAAAATATATGCTGCCCACAACGAACTCTCCTAAAAATAAGCTCACTATATAAGCACATAAACATTATTCAAAATCTACAGTATACTGTATCATAAGTAAAATAAATACAAATGTTCACTCGTCGCCAAAACTTGTGTGATTCACTCTTTCGATCAACGTTGGCTGATAACAATCATAAGTTACACTACCTTTTACCAAAAACAAACATACCACATCACAACGTAAGACACAATTGAGTATACGATTTGCCTTTTATTAGCACTAATCGGTTCAAAAATACATTCGTGTCGTCATGTAGCAAACGCGGACAGTACTCGCATTTTTAAACTATGCATACAACCAATGTATTACTACTTAATTCTTAACTTTCTTAGGACTTATCAGTACGCTTTCAAGTGTTTTAATATAATGTAAGTATTAATATATACTGATAACTTGTATACCTACGTAATTCAGTCTCTCAATGACTGCCATGTAGTGTTTTTTAATAAATCTATTTATCTAATTTCCATATAGCCTGGTACAACTGATTTAGGGAGACTGCATAAAAAACATAACACATGATATAACTACAATCTTATTTAACCCATTAAGCGCCAGCACTTTCCCCTTTACGAATAAAATAGGCGTTAGACAAAGTAGAATAATAAAGTTCAAAATCATTTTGTTTGAATTACTTCACATATCTATTTGTTTAAATTATGTACGGTAGATTCTGTGGTATGACCACTTGCAAAATTACGCAAAAAAAATTTAAATACTGTGACATTATGTTGCCTTGACAACACTTGAGCAACACTTGACACCACAACGCGAGCCTGTGTTCAGTGCTGGCCAATTGCTAATACTTCATGTTAAATCAATGTTTGGAAAATATAGGCTAGGGGTTGTTGCATACACTTATTTCTAAATGTTAATTGGACATAGCCATGTCACTGGTGGTATTCATTATATCTTCGTCAGACAAAACAGATTCCATATTTAAGAAGTTTGGCAACTCAATGAATGAATGAATAAATGAATGAATGAATGAATGAATGAATGAATGAAATCTTTATATCAACAGGGTTGGGTTAAAATAGACATCTTGTGGATTATATCACAAACGATTAATAAGTTTTTGCTGCAGGAAGCGCAGATTCACCAGAAACATGTAACCTCATGAGTTTACACAGCCCAAAACAACACTTTCCTAAAATGACAGCTTTCCTTATTCAAATTTGAAACGAGATCAAGATTGGTAGCCTTTAATTTTGACAATTTAAGAGAATGTAGTTCTGCATAACTGTTTTTCTCTGAATCTCATCCTTAATAGTAGGCCTACAATTTTTAAATTTTAAATGTACAACAGATATCTTTGGGATATTTATTCCCTCTTTCATTCCTTTTTCATTCATAGTTTTTCCTTGAAAAATACAAGTAATTATATTTCTAATCTGTACAGTTCTGTTCCTTCACACCATCTTCGCACCCACAGATCGTGTTTAGGACTGAAGTTCCAGATCATAGAAATGCTCTGTCCACAGTTCCC